TAGGCTCCGAAAAATGTTACTTGGGATAATTTCTAAGACCACACATTCCAGAAACTCACAATTTAAACAAAAAAATAGGATTTCTGTTTGAATAGATCAAACACGAAAATGGCTTTAGGGATATAGAACAAGCGCTTTTCAACAAATTTTCACTTATAATTTTGTCACAAATTTTTCATTGTGAGACCCTGAGTTGGTCGTCGTTTTTCGATATTAGTTGAGGTTAGGATAGAATTTCTGCTAGAACAAGGCTAGAACTATGAGTATAAGTCAAACTCAACCAGTTTTGTTAGTTTCAATCATTTTTAAGCCCATTCAATGTCGACAAACGACCGAATTCACCTCGAATTTCACTAAATCAAAGAACTGAATAATACACGATGCAAAAACAAACAATTGTCGAGATGGATTGTGGGAAATTTTTTGCGCGGGCGTTTTAAATTCTCTGTATTACTGGGAGTGGCCAAGCTCATAAATATCCAGATTATCCAGAAGATACCAACAGGATATTTTGTTGCCTTGACGTAATATATATCTATCTGTATGGTTTATTGCGTTTTATGTAATATAAAAAGTAGTACATTATTTATTTTTCATAAATATCTAGATGACATTCTTAGGAAATTTTATCATCATGAGCATGTTTGGATATCTCAGTTGGATGTACATTAGATATACGACAGAGATATCCATAGGATATTCTATTCTGAGACATCCACAGGATTTCAGGATGTCTGGAGGATATCCGGGGACATTCCGACATTTTATGAATATCCTGCGGATATTGTGTGTTATATAAGTGAGTTTAACTCGAACTTGTAACTTAATAGTTGAAATCTGATGATAAAAATCGAAAGAACAGCGATTCAAATAAAGGCGGTATAAATGATGTCGGTAATATAGACTTTAAATATCATCTCGTTAACAATTATGAATATTATATGATTTTTCTCAGTGATTTGTGGCACAGATACAAATTAATATATGCCCCATAACAGTTTTTAAATAAGAAACTTCTGCCTACAGATTTAATTTTCTTATTGGCATAATACCCTTTCTTCCAATATAAATCTTGCCATTTTTTCAGTCCAATGTTCCTTGTTTTTACAGTTGTAGGAATACTAAAAATGTTGACTATAGAACTTGATACTATGTTTGAAAAAGCCTTCATATCTGTAACTGTGCATAAATCTAATTAACTGAATTCTCCTCCTCTTGACACTCTGCACACTGCTGCTGCTAATGTTAGAAATATTTAGCACAAAACTACAACTACCTACAACAAACTTTACAATAAAAATGTTAAATTTTCGCTGTTCAATTAAAATACCCTATCTTATGTTTTCTTTTCCTCCAAATAATCTTCTTGTCAAGTAAGGACCAATCTTATTTGACATATTTCTGGTACACTTGAACTTGTGCTTTCATGGACACTATAAGAGTGCACTGTTTTACAGAAGCACGAACATTGATTCCAGGTATCTTCTTCCTCCACACGTAATAAAAACATCCTCTTTAAATGGCCACATCATACACTTATTTTTGACCATTCCCAATTACAATCACGATTTTTACAAATCGCCTTTAGGAAAACTAAAAATAAACAGTTTTGGATCATCTGTAAACACGATTATGTTGTATAAACTTACACATGAAAACTAATCATTTTTCCCGGCGAATTAGCTTTCTTAGAATGACTATGACAATATACAACAAGCCTTTTTGAATTAGTGTTTAGAATAATTGAGATAATAATAAATTTTAACTAGATAACAACACAAACAAAAAAAAACAAAACAAACAGATGTCAATTAAAGAGGGGAAGTGACAGCGAGACCTGGAAGATGTCTGCCATCTTGCTGTCGACAAAAATTTGGATGCGCACTCGTCGAAGCTCATTCTCCCACTTCCATATCTCTGGAACCAACAGTAACTTTTTGACATCAAATGTGTAATATGCTTTCAAGTCAGTTGAATTCAGGTGACTTAATCAAATCACTTGATTCGTATAGACGCACGTTAAGTTTAATATAAAAGATTTGAAACAAGAAACAAATTATTTCCCCGAACTATTTTCTTCTCATAACCCAGTTTAAAGCGTGGGCAGTATATCTACCGTATGAATCTGCGGTTTCATCAAATAATACAAGATAAAACAAATGTCACCTACACCATTTTTGACTTAAAATACCGTTTTTTTTGTTTATTAAGTAGACGCTCCCCTTCCGTAAAGTTGATTCATGGGATATTTTAACTTTACATTTCCATAGAAGAACTAACTTTGAATTAGCATTGCTCATTTTAGGAAAACAAATATCAAATACTATTGTTGACTTATTATTCAATTTAAATTGATTTGAATCAAAATAAAATTGCTTTTAATCTTTAAATGTTATAGATACTATGACAGTAATACTGGAAGTGAACATGAATTTTGTTGTTATAAATGTTCCAGCTTTTTTTCATATAAATTAAATTTTCTCGAAGAATCAAATTTCTCTAAGGAGAATGTAAAGTTATACAGGGTGTCCAAAAAATGCAGAGCTAAATGTCATGGAGTGATGTCTCATTAAAATATGCATATGAAAAAAAGTTTCTAAAAATATCGGTCACGAAATGCATGCTCTTAAAGATATGGGACGTTCAAATATTTTTTTTTTATTGTAATAATTGTCTTAAATACATAACATTTTTTGAGTTTGTTGTGCGGAGCACTGAACATTATTTTTACTAAGAGGCCTTTTTTACGTAAAGAAACGGAGAGAATGTGTATTATCAATGTGTTCACTCAGTAGTTTTATACAGGTACGGCCGAAAACAGACATTCATTTCTGTTTGTGCTTATATAGGGTCCGGCAAATGTAATAAAAAAGTTGTTTGGAGTTTTGTTTAAATGGAAACCTGAAGTATGTATAAGGATGTATTTCAGAAAAATATTTTAACTTCTTCAGGATGGCTCAAAAAGTGTGAGTGGTACGGGATGATTTTTTTAAAGGGAACATCCTGTATATTATTACATTTTTGGCTCCATTTCTGATCACTTTACATAAGCCTAAGATATTATTAGGTATATATATATTATTAAATATGTTTTGATACTTTCAGAGGTATTAATAAATAAATAAAAAAATATTTTTTTTCAGCCTATAAAAAGAAACTATTAAAAATACAAGAAGTGTCCTGAAACCAAAACTATATTAGGTATTTATTTTAGTTGGTCTATCAATATCGTAATCTTGAAACTTGAATATGGGCGTAATTAATAAAGCATAATTTTTAGGAATATTTTGATACAGATCATTCATTTCCGTTTCGAGAGGCTCATCCCTATAACTTTTTTTACTGATAAAAAAAGTCAGATTTTTTTTGTTAGTATATGACATAAATTAGGATTGATAACGTATTGACGTATTCAATTGTTTTTGGTGACTTTCAGTTGTACCGCAAATTACTACAACTTTTGATTTTTAAATGGCACCTTCAGTATCTTTCCATCTTTAACTTTTGACATTTTCGCTTTAAAATATAGTATTTTAAATTTAATTAATTAATAAAATTAATTTATTTCATTGTCCAACACTTAAGCACGCTAAAAAACAAGTTATTACACAACGGTCAGATATTGACATAGGGTAGATTGCAAGTTCTAAGGCATATAAGATTAGATTATTTTTTTTTCAAATATTATATTTATTGTGAATGGTTTTTAATACTTCACATTTTGCTGAGTATAAATGTATGCATTTCGGTTATTGATTTACCAAGTATCCATTCTTTTAATCTTTTTTTAAAAATATTAATGTTTTGACAATTAACAACTTCTTTAGGTAAAACATTAAAAATTTTAGGTTCTACATATAAATGACTTTTTTGTCCGATAGTTTTATGCATCCGAGGTAAATTAATAGTTAATTCGCGTCGACGTAGTGGGTATGAAAGTGGGATTAGATTATTTTTACTTCTGTTGCTGAATGTTATAGATAATGTATTAAACCAAAATAATTGTTTAGCGTCAAAAATGGCTGCTTCTATGTATAATAATATATATATGTATATGTATCATATGTATATGTATATATAATATATATATGTATCAGCATAACTCAAAATGTGTGCATCGAGTTTCAAGTTTAGTAACTCATTAATGTATATACAAAAAAGTACAAGGCCCAGTACAGTGCCCTGAGGTACTCCATAGTTGACCACCCTTTTCTCGCTTTTAACACCCTGGATGGACACGCTTTGCTGTCGGTTATTTAGATAGCTTCTAAATAGATCGTTGGTCCTTCTTCTAAAACCCATATTACTAAGTGTGTATAACAGGATTTCATGGTGAACTGTATCGAACGCTTTTGCTAAATCTACAAAAACACACAAAGAAACCTCGGATGCATCAAGGGCCTCCGAAGCCAATTCTGATAGTTTTATAATAGCATCACTTGCGGATTTGGACTCCACGAATCCATATTGATTTTCGGAAAGGAGTTTAAATTGTTTCAGATACAAACACGTCCTTTTTTTAATAAGTTCCTCAAGAATTTTGGAAAAGTTACTTAATAGCGAAATTGGTCTATAATTTGACATATTTGTTTTTTTCTTCTGATTTAAACACAGGTTTAACAACAGATATTTTAAATATATCTGGAAAAGTGCCATTATTTAGAGATAAATTATAAATGTACGTTAAAGGTTTAACAATAAATTCTTTTATTTGTTGCAGTGTGTTTGTTGTTGCATTTGTTGCTTTATAAAAAAAAGTATTAAAAATACAAGAATTGTTATGAAATCAATACTATATTAAATATTTACTATAGTTTGTCTGTACTTTCATTGCTATAAATATTGTATTCGAAAACCAAACAGGGTGTTCAAAATTATATGCCAAACTTTCTAAAATATCAAATAATTTAACTTCGTTTTTTTTTAAACAGAACACCCTGTATGTTATTTCTTTGTTGGACCCTCTATGGACATATTTAAAAAATTGTTATTTGTTGCAGAAACTTAAGGGTGAGAGATATAGACTGACCTTCGTAGTTCAAGAACTGGACAGGGCAAACGCAGTGGACTATCAAACAGCTTTAGTGGCTTTTATTAATTGCCTTATTATATCAACTCCAAGATTGGTGGATAGGATAAGGCTTAGAAACGAATTTATTGGTAAGTTTTACCTAGATCCTTATTCTAATTAATATAATTCTACATATTTAAGCTCCATTGGGAACCTTGAAATTAGTGGTTTCATTCAATCTCTATGTAAGCATTCATTCAGAACGTCAAAATTAGTGGTAGTAATTTTCAATTTATAGAAAAAGTTGAGAAACGTTTAACTTTTACTACTAATTATATTTCAAAATCAGCGAGTAATGTTATTTTTGCCAAGAGAAATTGTGGTTAGAAATGAAAAGCTTATTGTTTTATTATTAGGCGTTCTCTGTGGTGGATACAACTGACTACCGCAAGCTGTTGCTAGGATATTCTATTAATTTTAATTGAACTTTTATAGATATTGAGAACGATCGTAAATACACACACCGGAAAAGTCTAGGGATATTACAATTTTATCCAGCCATCGTCAGTAATTTTATTATTTGCATTTCTAATATAATAAAATTAAAATAAACAAATAGTTTACAGGACGTGTTGGAAATAAAAATGCGAAATTTACCGAATTTTTCAAATTTACCTTCATTTTTATTGAACTCAAAAAAATACACATATTTTTTTTATTTTAAACTGTGAATTAAAAGAAAAAAAGATAAAACCATTTTTACTTAATAAAGGGTATGGCCTCCTCTACTGTTCATTACAGCCCTACATCGTCTCTCCATGCTCCTGATCAGGTTGTCGATCTCTTCTTGAGGTACAGCCTGCCATGTTGTATTCACGGCCCGAACCAGATCACTACGAGTTTCACGAGGCATACCCATTCTCAAAATTCTTTTTTGGACCGCGTCCCATACGTGCTCGATGGGGCTTAGGTCAGGAGATTGTGCCGGCCAGGGTAAGATGTTTAATTGATGAGCATTATTAAACTCACTTACTACTCTGGCTGTATGAGGCCGTGCATGCATGAGAATGCAGTTTCTCCCAAAATCATTGGCATATGATAACACGACAGGCTCAAGAATTAAATCACGATATGTGATTCGAAGTTGAAACCTGTTAGAAATCTTTCAAGAAAAACGAAATCGGGTTTTCGGCCAACTGGACTCCTTCCCAGACCATAACTGTTCCACCTTGATAAGGGTGCACTTCCTGAACATGATCCAACCGAATAAGATTTCCCGGTTCTCTCCATACCCTAAGCCTTCTCGAATCCGGATGAATTCCAAAGCGTGACTCATCCGTGAAGAAAACATTGGCCCATTGTTCATTCGACCACTGAACATGATCTTGAGCCCACAAATATCGTACCTCTCGATTTCCTCTCGTTAAGGGTTGAGCTCTCCAGGGGCGTCTGCTTCTTAAGTTGACCTCTCTTAATCTATTGCGAACAGTGTCAGGACTAACGGTTACATTATGAGTTTCTTGGAGAATTAAACTAAGCTCTGGGCTGTAAGAGTCGGTCGGCGTCGAGCATTTAATTGTAAAAAATGATCTTGCTGAGGGGTAGTAATGCGATGTCGCCCTGTGTGCCTTTCAGCAACATCACCACTTTCACGGTAGCGTGCACTTAATCGCGATATTACACTTTGCGTTGTATTTAATGCTCTAGCTACGTCGATTTGGCGCATTCCACCTTCAAGCATACCCATGGCCCTTAGCATTTCGTGTCTGTTAAGATGTCTACGCTCCATAATGTCGTTTAATACTAAACAGAGTTATTTGAATGAATTCTGGCCAGTTATCATAAAAACATAGCCAGTACAGGTTAAATTCGAACAATTGATGCTAGGTGCTTTTTATACATATGACAAAAAATGCACAAATACTTCTGCAAATATCCCAAATTTAGAAATAACTAGTGTGAATACTTCGTTTCAATCGAAGTATAGAAAGAATCGGCCTACTAATATGTGGTTGTTTATTCAAAAAAATTATTTTTAACTTTAATAAAATGATATCCCTAGATTTTCCAGTGTGTGTACTTAAGTAAAAAGTATTTAATTGAAACCACTAATTTATTCCACTAATTCCCATTCATCCCGCCAGCAGATATTCCTTCATTTTTCTTGATCAAACAATAAATATTTACTTATTAAACTATTGTAAGTAAATTAAATAAAAATAAACTGCTAAAAACTTCCAAAAACTAACGGCGATTTTGAAAATAGCTACCAACTGTCGATTACTACCAAAGATTTAGTTTAAAAAATAGGGGTTGGTGCATTTGAAAAAGCGAAGTTTTTATGTAAGATAATTATTTAAGATAGATCAGCAATTTTTGGTACCCCTGTATACATTTAAGAAACAACCAAGATTTTCAGCACAGTTTATTTATCTACCACTAAACTCAGGCACAAGAATTAATTCTGAAAAGTAATGTATAGGGTGTTAATATTATTTTCTATTGTAGCATGCATATTTAAATATCTCAAAAACCAAAGTTTTTAAGCATATTTAACCCTTATGATGAATGCCTTTTTTGGTGCAAAAATCCAAAAATGAAATATAATACCGGCTCTTCCATAAGAAAAAATATAACTTTGATATGAATCTTAGTTAAATGTTTGGATTAAAGAACATTAAGATTTTTTAAGAAAAGGAGAATTTTACAAATCTAAGATTTGTCTGCATTCGTGGGACACAGGACACAGAATAGATTTCAACAACGCCAAAATTATAATGAAAGAATCGATAGCCTCTAAAAGAAAATTTTTTGACATTTGGGATTTTTTAATACAATCTAATAAAAATAAATGTATTGCTCATGCATCTGTAGATGTTAGTAATGTATGACAATCGCTTCTTTGATTTTAAAGAACATAACATAAATAAAGATAACATACGTAAAAATTAAAAATATAATCATACTGAAAGTTTGAAGCTTTTTTGGTTTTTCCTTATTAAGTGAATTATAGAATTTTTTTGGAGAGATGGATTTTAGTTCTGAAATGCCCTGTATATATCAAAATAATTTTCAATTATGCGCATTACCTCTTCACATATACCCATAGAAAATTGTTTCTACATCTTCCCGTTTTCCTATAAGCAACCGAGGCGTATGAGGTGCCCTGTATTATCAGAATGCATGTTCCTGCATCAACTTTCATCATAATATAAAACCTGAATTTATCCTGTTACAATAAACTATTAAATGAAATAACGGATAGGCACTAAACCTAGGGTCATTTATATTCATGAAGTGTTTATTTTATTTCAGGATGTCACTTGCTTCCGGTGCTAAACAACTTAAGGTAAGTGCAACGCGTTATTGCCGAGACAATTCTCCTTGGTCCCAATTGAGGCAAGTTCAAGGACCTTAAACATACCATAAGCCCATAAGTGAGACATATTGGTCGAAAATTAGCATTTAGATATATATTGGTTGAGAAGATTTAATTAATTAAGGTTTGCAATTAAGGTTCAAAGCTTAGTCGAGTTTTTTTTGTTGCTCTGTAGATCTCTTAAAAGACCATTCAAGGAACATTAAAAAATGTCAATTATTAAAAATGTAATTATCTTAAAATCAGCTGAGCGAGATGTAATGAGTTAACGACGTAATGGTGGATTTATGAGATTTAACTTGTTTTTGTACTTAAGTTACTTTGATTTATACAGGGTGGGCCACTGAAAACTTACAATGGCTATAATTTTTAAACCAAAAAAGATATCAGAAAAATAAAAAATACCGTTTCTAATATATCGAGGGGGAATAGATATGACGTATTTTTTGAACCACCCCGACCTACCCCTTAGGAGGCACCCCTACTCACTTGAAAATATTAAATGGCAACACCCCACTTGTGGCGTCTTTTTGGAAAGCTCATGAAAAATGCTAAATCATGATCATAAAGTTTTTAGGGTGAAATTGAAAAACTACTTACTTGAGGGGGACATTACTTGATGTCATTTGTAAAAGTGAAATCAATGGCATCTCAACATTTCCAATAAAGAGTACAAAATTAATTTGGAAGTATAAGAAGAAAGTTCAAAGAGCTATAAATAAAATTGAACGAAAAATAAATATGTGCAATAGGGAGGTTGATAACCCTTTTGAACATGTAGAGCATTAGAAACTAGTTTGTAATTAAAAATAATATCTTTAAATTGTTGATCTGGATATTATTTAATTGAATCTTAAATCTGTAGATTATTATTATATCGCAGACAGAAATTTCAAATTCACAATAAGAAAAGTTAAAAATAATATCTTTAAATTGCTGACCTGGATATTATTTAATTGAATCTTAAATTTGGCTCGATTTTCTTTATTCAATGTTTATTAGCGCTGATCAATATTGTTGCGATGAATATAATTAGATTAAATAGTTTAAAAACCAGATTCGGACTTGAAATTATTTTAAATAATCATTAAATAGCTTTGTTGTTGTTAAGGTACCCAAAACAAAAAAAAAATATAAAAATGCATGTCAGTACATCAGAGTGCAATGCATATCATTGTACTCAGGAGACCGAGTTCTTTCAAAACCTGAAATAAAAAATACCTGGCCTCTGTATCTCACAAATTATCAGCTAATTTGAAAATCTAAAAATACTATCAGATTGCCCTAATAAAGTGGCTTTGAGAATATGCAATTATTTTTTTGATTTTCTAAAAAGTAACGACAGGGTAAAAAAAAATTCAAAAAAATCAGTTTTTGTTTAAAAAACTCAAGCAATCCTTGAAATTTTGAAAATTTTTTTGATGGCATCTTGGTGAACATCCCAAAGCGCAACTTTAACCATTTTAACTATATTCGTATTATTCGTATCTATTACGGTTACCGAGATACCAATGCTCGTACCTTTGAATTTGTAGCACCCTGTATAAGCCCAAATAATTTCGCCGGATTGAAAAAATATTATATAAAATCGCTATTACTTTTTAAAAGGTTCTATTAATATTTTATGTTTTTATGTAGAAAATTAAAACTGTCTTTAGAAAGAAAGACTAAATCTATACCCTAGGAAATTCTTAGAAATAAAATATACAGAATAAATACATATGAAGTAAAACTATATATGTATAAAAATAAAAATATCTGTTATTCTGCAAAATATATGTACCCACAGAAGAACTCCGCATGTAGTAGCCAAGTTATGGGTCATGCTCGGTATAGGTACTATTGTATATATTAAACTGTCTGCCTTACACCTACATGTATACTCGTAAACACTTCTCTCCAAGATTTCCAGTTTTATATATACCGACCTGAGTCAGTCTTTGACTCACGATAGGTATATAATTAAAATTCATATTATTTCGATTTGTTAAGAGTTTCATTATACATTTTAATGTCATTTTTTAGAAATTGGTAGAATATTTATTATACTAGTAAAATGATAATGATGATAATTATGATTTTATAGGACTTAATAAAAATATATTACTATTTAAATTTTTGTGAATGTGGACAAAATTAATGTATTAAAATGTAAAAATTTATTATTTAAAAAAGTATGTATTTTTTTCAAATGCAACGAGGGCGTCACATTAGCACATTTGGAAAAAGCGATTTTTTACGAATAATTTGGTAACACACACTTGGTATTTTGAGTCAAATTGTCAAAAGTTGACATGTGATATGCTCCTATTTAGAGTATCATTTTTTATCGAATAGAGTAAAAAAATACCGAGAGTGCCATTGGAAAATCAAAAGTTGTGGTCATTTTCGGTGAAACAGGAAGTGACCAAAAACAATTGAATACGTCAATCAATTCTAATTTATGTCATATAAGGAGATACCAAATCTCGTTTTTTTATCTGAAAAATTAAAAAAGAATATAGGGTTGAGCCAAGAACGGTAAACTAATAGGATTGCTCATCCTCATAAGACGTACGTTCGCCTCTTCCCGCGCTTCAGTTGACATTTGTGACGTCATTGTAGCCCTTAGTGTGTAGTGTGTATTATTAGTTGCCTATGGTAAATTTATAAAAATAACAGCTGAGAAATTTTGAGTTAATTTTTTTGTCAATTTTAAATGTGAAAAAGGTGTCTTTCAAGTTTTTAGAGCTATAGAGTGTATAAATACGTTCATTTTGTGTTGTGGATTGTGACAAAGTGCATACTAAGTGCCCACTATTTTGTTTATTAATTATTTTAAAGCAAAATATGGAAGTACTCTAAAAAGAATGCTTGCAAAAGGTGATGCTGGGAACTGCTGTTCTTAAAAATGCATTCATTATCCGAGTATTTAATACGATTTATACACAGTTAATTTTCTATACTGCATACATATAAGGTGTTTAAATAAATAAACTAAATAATGAACGTTTTGCATTCGGTAACCAATAATGCACGTGTGTGTATTATTGGTTGCCAGATAAGGACTACTAACCATGACAAGGGCTGCAATGACGTCACAAAGCGAGTAGGTTTCGCATGCACCCGGCGGACACTTTTGGCTGAATGAGCAGTCCTATTAGGTTAACTGTTCTTGGGGTTGAGCCACTTTTGAGACGCACCCGGTATATTTTTTTTAAACATAGTAAAGTATAACGTTGAAAAAAGGTATCTATTTTACTGTTAGGGTAGCGCGGGGCAATAAGAGCCCCCTAAGGAAAACCTGAAATAAAATGCTACTTATTCCACTCCTTGCAACCAATTTTCTTTTTCTAGATACTTCGTGATGTGTAAAATAAAATATAAGTATCAGTTCTCTGTTTTAGATAAACATTACTGGTATGCAAAAAAAAAACTAAAACCTATCATTAGCTCTCATTACCCATAATCGAACCTACACTTCAGTAGATTTCGTTTAACACCGCTATTTTGTTCTAAAGCAAAATATAAATACAACTTACCACTAATTTTTTAAAACGTGCACTGTATAAGGAAGTCGCGTAAACACGATGCGTTTTCTACAGACTTGGAATCGTCCCACAGAATCGTCCTAAAACAAAGCGGTGGTTGCTTTAGGAAACATTTAATGGGGGATCCCGCGTATAGCAACTGTCAGTGCTCAGATCAGGGCGCGTTATTCAAAATTACACAATGGCTCCCATTACCCAATGGCTCCCAATACCCCGCGGTATCCTAAATCTAAACGAAAACTATAAGCAAACACGTATGGCAACAAAAATATCTTCAAAATTAGCAGCATTCCGAAAAATTTACCTACAATTTGACAGAATAACAATTATTATTGCATTCCAATATTTATAACTGCGGTAGGTTAAAAATATTAGGTAAATATACTTATATATTAGCACATTGTCCAAATAAATGTTTGTTATTTATTTAGATATCTGAGTAATCTAGTGAAAAATTTCTCATATAGAAATAACTGTAAGTTACTACGTATGTGATATTCTCTGTTTTCGGTAAATGTTAGTACGCCTTTGTGAAATATCCGAAATAAATTACCTTTTAATTATTAATTAATCATGTCAATAAGTCTATTTATATCCTTCAGTGGGCTTTCTCCATTGATTAGTAACATTTTGGTATAGATAAATATTGGAAAAATGTTGTATCGACTAACACTGCATTATTGTATGTGTTATGCCAATATATGACATGAACTAAACTATACATTATATATACAGGGTGGACCACTGAAAACTTACAATGGCTATAATTTTTAAACCAAAAAAGATATCAAAAAAATAAAAAATATCATTTCTATAAAATCGAGGGGGAATACATATGACGTATTTTTGAACCACCCCGACCTACCCCTTAGGAGGCACCCCTACTCACTTGAAAATCTTAAATGGCAACACCCCACTTGTGGCGTCTTTTTGGAAATCTCATGAAAAATGCTAAATGATGATCATAAAGATTTTAGGGTGAAATTGAAAAACTACCCTTACACGAACAGTTAGGTGGACATTAATGAAAAAGGCGATTTTTTCAGCCTAAGTTACAAAAAGGATAGCTGGACAAATTTTAAAAGTTTAGATACTTTGCAGTTTAAATCTTCTCGTATAAAATTTTTGATCTCAGGTAGCATATCTGCATTACCAATATGTCGGAAATCATTACCTTTAAAACTATGCTGACTACTGCTTGCTTTAAACCTAACTTTTTTCGTTTCTTAGCTCTAGTAAAATAGCTAGTTAGACCTCTTCTTGAGAAAGAGTAACGTTATATGCATATTGTAAGGGCTATGTTCTGAGCCATGAGTATTATTCTGTTATTTACACTTAATCATACTTACATCTTTTTTTTTATAGAAAATGTTCGGAAGCAGAACCTGAGCTAGCCGTTCAATTAGACGTATTCGATGAACAACGAGAAAGTGACGAATCTCAAAGCCTGCATGGTTCACATGGAGGAGTTGATCTCAACTCACCCTTAGACGTGTTTTATGCAATTCTGAAACAGGTGAGTGCACCAGTCCAGCAAAAAATATCTTTAAATATTAATTCGAACAATTTCTTCACACGTATTTTTACGTAATTTAAAATATTTTTTTGTGGCTCTATTTGAATATGAATACATAATAAAATAAGTTGTGGACAACCCGGGCTTCCAACCATTTTATGTTATGGTGCTTAGACCACACAAGATCTGCAATGCCCAACTTCATTGTTTTACCTTTTTGTATGTTTTTTTGTCATACGTCAAGTCGTACATGTAAAGGACGTTTTGTCTCTCCAATATACCCACTACACTAACAAGGTACCTGGTAAATGCATTCTTTCTCTTGTTTTGACGATTCCGCTTTTGTTAGGATGCTTCTTAGAGTAGTTCCAGATTTTATACTGCTTGGCTATTTGCCTGATCTTCTCCGATGTTCCTTTTACGTATGGGATCATCAAGAGAGAGACAGAGAGAGAAAGAGATAGAGCATCCTCCTCAGGCTGGCGCACTCAATGAAGCAGACTTGCAATTGAAAATAATTTAATTTAATTATTATTACTATATTATGATTAAGCTTATTAGTTGTATAAATGATGGGCACGCAGAAGAATGACTTTATTGACAGCTCAGATAACAAGTTATCTGATGATTAACTACATTTCTTCCTATTTCTTTTTTGAAAAATAGAAAATATGGTTGTTTTTATTTTTCATAGACTAGACTACCATACAATTCAAATTATAATAACATGCTAATTCGATTATTGCAGATAGCAGATACTCCACAAGAAATCCCTTTCATCAGCATCCTCCAACACCTTTTACGCATCGATCCCAAAGAACCCATCAGCGATATAATCTGGGACACTGCAGAGAAATTAGTGCATAAAGCCACACTGTTAGAACGCAGAGAAGATGTTCCTAAACTCCTAAGAACGCCTAGCGTCCAGTCTAGGTTGTTTTGCCACTGTCAGCATAAGAGCGAGCCCAGCCCATCTGGCAGTGGTAGAAAACAGTCGTTACCATCTGCTACGCCGTTAAGTCCAACATTTGTACCGCCTCCACCGCCCCCGGGATTTCCACCACCCCCACCGCCACCGCCAAATATACCGCCGGCTCCGCCACAACTTCGCATCTCAGTGCCATCGACGACCAGTAGAAATGTAGAACAAGAATCTCAAGCCTCTTCCTCATCAGAAACTCAGACTGTGATAGAAAAGTTACCCCAACAAGAAATTCCGATGCCGAAAAGTAAAATGAAGACGATCAATTGGAACAAAATACCCAGCAATAAGGTAAAACTACAGCAATAAGGTCCTATCTCTAATAAATTGAATAGTTTCCTAGGGTCAGGAGGTGTAAAAATGGGACACTTTTCAAAACTTTTAGTTACAACCATTTAAACAAAAAAGTATTTATTCCATAAAAGGCATTTGATGATAACAAAACTATTGTAAAAGTAAAAATACCAAAAGTATCCATAAAAAAATTAGTATGCAGAAAAGTGTGTCTCATATTTAAACCACGAAAAGTCTAAAAATAAGGCAAGCTGGGTTAAATATGAGACAGTCACAATACTTCAGTCAAAATAAACAAAAAAAGGACTCAAATAACAATAATTCGCATAGAGCTGAAAATTGGTACAGGTCTTAAATACACTATTATGAATGATATCTGAAAAATCCCCACCCCTCTCACGTCTGCTAAAAAAAATTAGAATCAAAAGTTAAAAATATTTTTTTCTCCTAAACGGTAAGCGCTATCGCAAAAGTACCGTAAACAAATGTTGTAGACCATTAAATTTTCTACAATAATGGTTCCTATACTTTTTTTCTTACGAACCACCATTCCTGAGATATGGCGATTTTTATTTTTTTTACTTACACTATTTTATTTACACTATTTTAGGTTTGCACAAACAAAATTCTCAAGTCTTTTATTCTAGGAGCTACAAATGCCCGACGCACTATTGCCGGACTCTATATTTATTACCATTTTCTACAAAGTTATATTCGCTGTTAGAGACCAATAGCAAACTAATAAATAATCGTCTGATAACTAAGTTACTTAATTTTACTGGACTATGAGACCTAAGCTCTCTTAAAAAACTCTTATTTTTCTTTACTACTAACCTTTTTCTGATCTGTTTTTATTCGGTTTGTTTCTTCGATACTAATTGTATATTCTCTCTATAATTGTTTTATCTGAATTTTATTCCATGTTTTCAATCTAAATTAAAATCCTTTCTTTAGATTGTAGGTAAGAATAATATTTGGACTCAGGTGGCATTTAGACATCAACGATCTCCCGTGGCTGATATGGATTGGTTAGAAATGGAGGGTTTGTTTTGTCAGCAAGCACCTCCCTCTGCAAATTCATCCCCCAGGCTTGGTAATCGGGATTCCGTAGAAGATCGAAGAGTTAGGAAGGATATGCAGGAAATTGCTTTGCTAGATGGGAAACGCAGCTTAAACATCAATATATTCCTTAAACAGTTTAGAAGGTACATTCACTGAATAATGTAATATTTTTTGTTGGTAGTTTTTTCATATAATAATGTATCAAGAAAGAGAAACTTGTGAAATTGTGTAAAATGAAAATTGTAAAGTTACTATATTCTATATTCACTCTACCTCGACGTGATAATATTAAAGGAATTAATTGTTTCAGTTCTAACGAAGATATAATAGACCTGATAAAGAATGGCGAACATGACGACATCGGAACTGAAAAACTGAAAGGTCTCCTGAAGATTTTGCCCGAAATTGATGAGCTGGACATGCTCAAATCTTTCAATGGAGATTTTACGAAACTGGGAAATGCTGAGAAGTTCCTCATCCATCTCACTAATCTTTCCAAGTATGTCGAAATTGAAATAAGTAGTATTCTCTTAATTATACACTTTTTATTCAGAAGCTTTGGAAACTTATTTGTTACTTTCAAAGAAGATTTCAATAATAAAATTAACATGTTAACATATATTATCGTTTTTATTATTACAGTTATAAGCTGCGAATAGAGAGCATGCTGCTGAAGGAAGAGTTTGCCTCTAACATGAGCTATTTGGAACCAAGCATCAACTCAATGATTACCGCAGCTCAAGGTATTCTAAATTGCATCCTTCATAGTTACTTGATACACCTCTAAATCAGAGCTATCCCAAGTTAGTTTCAAAAATATATAAATCCTGAGTAATTTCAAAATTTATTCAAAACGATTTAAATCAATTCCAACATAAAGCTCAAATGATTTCATTTTTTTTTCGAAAAAATTAAAAAATATAAAATGTAATAAAATGTAATTTAAGTCGTTTTTATATCTTAGGTCTATATTTTCTATTTAAATCATGATGATCTGAAAGTCTCCATACTTTTACGGTTAGCAAATCCGTGACAGATTTGTTGTCTTTTTTTGCAATAAAAATAGTAATTTGTTAAAACGACTCAATTTATTTTGTTTATTCTAAATTCAAACATTACAATATGATCTAGACAATTTTACTATATTTTTATAACTTTGCAAACAAATCACTTTTGATAATAGCTTATTTTGCCAAAATCAAGCCAAATTTGCTGACAACTATATATTGGGACAGCACAACAAAAAATTTGTTTAATACGGAGTTACACCACCTTTCGCCTTAACAACTGCCTGAACTCTTAATGGCATTGTATTTACCAAAGATTGGCACATTTGAGGAGAAGAATTATCCCAAATTTCCTGTAGTTTTGTCCGCAAATCAAAAATTGTTCGTTGAGGGTGGTTTCTTAAATATTGCTTCATTTTATGCCACACAGTTTCTATAACACTGAGGTCCCGACTACTTGCAGGATAGGATAGAACTTTTATATTATTATTACCGAACCAATTTTTAGTTGATTTTGCTGAACGTCACGATGCTCCATCTTGTTGAAAAATATAGTCTTCGTTTGGAAACAATTCTTGAACACTAGGCAAAAGTGAGGTCTCAAGTATATGTTGATATTTTTGGGCGTTAACAGTGCCATCTATAAAATTTAATTTGCCCAAACCTCTTACTGACATGCAACCCTAACCCTCTTTAAGCAATCTTTATGAAAGGCTTCTGCTTTAATTCGTATTATTCTTTTTCGATGATCTCCAACGCAAACATCAAATATAGACTCATCGCTAAATATGACCTTATTCCAACCATTTTGTGTCCACGATAATTTAGATTTTGCCCAATTGTAGCGATTTTTGTTTTGAATTTCTGTCAGTAGCGGTTTTTCTTTGGCCTAAATAAGAATTTGTATCAATAATCTTCAGGTAATTGATTATCCACACAAAATAAAGTTTACCTTGTAAAACCCCAGACCGCATTTATGGATATATTTTCGGCAACACTCTCTTGATATATTTAATCCATTTACAGTATTCCATTTAACTGTTACTCCGCGAAGAGTACTTCTTCTCGCAGACTTGCAAATTTTTACTAAATTTCGTAAATCTCTCTGAGATACAACTTTTGGCCTTTCCGAACTTTTACCTCTAACGCCTACACTGGCAGATTCGCCGTATTTTTTTATTATATTAAAGACCGTGGTTTTTGGAATACTTAAATCATCAGAAATTTTTCGAATTGTTTTTCCCGTACTGTATTGATGAATGATAATTTCGCGTAGTTTTTGATTTGTAGCTTTTCCACGGACCATTACTTTGGATTAAATTAACAAAATTGAAAATTAAAAAAATTAAAATTACTTACAGTAAGTCTCACTACTCAAAGTATCGAGTCACTTACAAGCTGTCAATGCTGAAGTAAACAGTTTGCGACATTTGTGACGTTTATAGCAAAGCCGCCTATGATATTAATTATTTAAAAATACTTGTCCCAACATTTAGTTGTCAGGCAAATTTGTCCTTTTATGAACAAAATTCGCTACTGTAAATATGGATTGATTTACAAATTCATAAAAATATTGTCAAGTTGTTTAGGATATATGGCTATGTTTATATTTAAAAAATTAAATATATATTTTTCAGTCATTTTGAAAAACCAGGGCAATAATTCCAAAATATGACCTTGTCCCAACATATAGTTGTTAGGGCTCGTAATGCGAATCCATTAATGGATGTTTGCGATAACATTTTTCATCGCTTTTCCATTCCTGGCGGGGTTTATTAACGACTGTACATCGTGTAGGCCTGTCCGCTGTCTAACATTCCTCAGCCAAGACATTTTCTTCCTTTCGATACCCCTCCGGCCTTCGATATTGCATTCGATTAACAAATGGACAGAATAATTTGCACTGTTTGTTAACATGTCTCTTCATTTGTTAACCTATCCGTCCAAGGCATCTTCAGAATTCTGCGATATATAGTCACATCTCGAAAGCCTCTAGTTTATTAATAGCTACTGCTTTCAATGTCCAACCTCCCATACCATAAAGGAGCACCGATCACACGTAACACTTTACGAATCTTAATCTGAGGTTAAGGTCAAAATCAGAACAGACAAGTACTTTTCGGAACCTCAAGAATGCCTGCCGAGCTTGTTCGATGCGACATTTAATTTCCTTGTCTGATGTCCAATCTTCGGAGAGCCAGATGCCCAAGTACTTAAATTTATCTACCCTTTCTATGGGCCTTGTATTAAATGTTATAATGGCGTTTTTAAACACATCTGGATTTCTGGATATTCCTGCCTTGTTGACCAGTTGTTGTGTGGGTCGTGTATATTATCTGCAATCAAGACCGTATCATCGGCGTAGCGGATATTATTAATCCACACTCCGTTAACTTTAACTCCCATTTCCACGTCCTCTAGAGCCTCTTGGAAAATATTTTCTGAGTACAAATTGAGTGGAGATAGCTCGCAACCTTATTGCACCACGCTTCTTGTACAGGATTGAACATGGTATTGGCCAATTTTATTTGTGCTGTTTCATTCCAGTACAAGTTTTCGATGCATTTATTATATTTTTGGTCTATATCAAGCCTTTTGAGTAGCTGCATTAATTTGTGGTGTTGTACGTACGTTGTATATTTTGATCACCTGGCTCGTTAGCATAAGTTGGAGAATGTTTTTCAAAAAGACTTAACTTTTTTAAAAGACTTATTTCTTAATTCGTTTTCTATTTCCGAATAATGATTTAAATCACAAACCATTTTGATAAGTACCTACTGGTATCTTTGATCTTTCGTGTGCTTTCGAAAAGTTACTTGAAATCAAACGACTTAAGTTATTTAAATCAAATCAAAAGGCTAAGTTTCCTATGAGCTTGCAGCTCTGTTCATAATTTTATATTACGTAGTATAAAAAAATGATATGTAAGCAATGATTATTTTTAGACTTAATGACCAACAAGCCATTACAAGAAGTATTGTATATGGTTCTAGTAGCGGGAAATTTTCTGAATTCTGTAAGTACCTTTTGAATGAATAAGCTGTGTATGCTGACGCATTATTTGATTTGTTTTTAGGGCGGTTATGCTGGTGATGCTGCCGGTGTGAAATTGTCTTCCTTACAAAAAATAACTGATATCAGAGCCAACAAACCCAATATGAACTTGATTCATTTTGTGGCATTGGTGGGTATAAAATTTTAGTACGTAGCGTTTGTAGTGTTTTATATATGATATTTCTTGTAGCAAGCAGAGAAAAAGAACAAATTGCTGCTCTCGTTTACTGATAACATTAACGTTTTGGAAGATGCCGCCAAGTAAGTAACTTTTATTTTTTTGTCACTGAGAAACTTGTCTTTTGTGACATTTTTCAACAAAGAAAAAGAACTAATTTAAAAATTAATTTGATGTAATTCTATGGTATTGATTTTTAGTGATTTTCAAGTTTCCATGATTTTCGGAGGATAATTCTAATTTATATTAACTTTTAAGCGCTAACATGGCGTTTGAGTTATCGCTATGTTACTTTTTATGTTTTAGATAGTATAAAAAAACTGTTTATATCAGGAGCATTTATTCATAAATTATATTTAAAGGATGAGAGAAATACCTAAGTACGTTAATATACATATACAAAGATATCGTAACAAATATTCTCTAGAAAATGTACACCTATTGCCAATCTGATACACAGTCAATGCAGATTTTGTTTGAGCATTCCATACATTCTGCCATTTTGTACAACATATATTTATAATGAATCTTCAAAACCATTGTGGATATTTTGGCAGGTTGTTCATATTTTCAAATAATTTTCCAAGTTGTTATTGTCTAGTAGATCATATCATTAGTACCACATATTTTTTCAATTGTTATACGCAATTCTAGTCAGCTTCGGGTTAAAGGTTAACTAAATGTCTATATCCTACAAATATATTCATTTTGAGATCCGTATTTTAATATACAGGGTGTCCCAGAAATAAGTATTTTAAAGGGTGGTAGATCTCGATAAAAGAAACGTATTTTCTCTTTATGGTTTTTCAAATAAGTCCAATAATAATAACGGAGTTATTTTACTTTGAAAATTTCCAAAGAAATTATTTTTTGCTGAATTTATGAGAACCACTGGGTCTTCTCTGGATTTTCTTTCATGTAAATTTAATCTACTACCTATGTTGCCAAATTATCAAGTAACTATGTTTTTTTAACTAAAAACTAAAAAAAATTGCAAAAAATTTTCAATAAATTCCGAATTTAAAAAAAAATGTTCTCGAAAAAAACCTCATAGGCGTGTTTCTGGTGTTGAACTATACTACCAGTTAAAATACTTGCACTTATTTCAGGGACACCTTGTATGTGTATCTTTTTTTCTTTTCCATTGGGGTACGTTTTTCATACGTATTTTTGAAAAAAAAATCCAAACTTCTATGTTATTTACTTCTCTTCTATGTTTCTCTAAAGAGAAAAAGAAATTTTATTTGATAGATGGTCATGGTAATTTTTTATTTGACAAATGGTATAGATGGTTATGTATTTTGATTACCGTCATATTTTTTGCTGTTTGCCGCTATGAGGCCGCTATTACACTGTCAAATTTCTTTTGAAAAAAGACAAAATATGCAATTTACAAAATTTTTCTTGGAATAAAAAATACAGTTTAGGTAATTACGTAAAAATTATAAGGACCATTACCAAAAATGGTCCTTATAATTTTTACGTAATTTGTAATTTTCAAGATATTCCGCCTCGATGACCACTGAATTTTTTCTCCAAGTCTTAACGCTCCAAAAAAAAAGGGCCGCCAGAGTGACGAAGGATTTAATTTTTGCAATAACTGCGAAAAGCTTCATTTTTAGAAGCTTTATATTTAGAAAAAAGAAGGAACTTCTAAGAAGCTTCATTTTTTAAGAAAAATCTTGTAAATTGCATATTTTGGCAGATATTTGCGAAAAACTGATGATTCGGCCATTTAGGGTCATTTTTTCGACCAAAGCTTGCCTAGCACGATGTTACAAATTTTCCCCCCTAAAACTACTTCCCAAAAGGTACACAGCCCACTTGAAAAGTCCCGATCGCCGAATTAGGACGTTGTTTCAACCTTTATTTACTGGACTATAAAAAAATAATTCACCTAAAATATTGTCGCGATCTAGGCTTATTGTGGCTTAAGTTTCAGGATATATCTTTAGATTAAAACTACCATTATAAAAAAGATCGATTTATTAAATAGAAATACAAGTATAATAAATATGATTAAACAAGCTGGGAATTTCCAAGAGAGAGTATGCTGAAACACTTACAGAAACATCTCGGGACTGCGTGATCTCGCTGACTATAACTCAACTACTTAAAGCATCGACTCATTAACTGACTATCAACTGTCAAATATCCGCTCTGTCCTCAACAGGTCATTTTGTATTCGTCTTCTCGTCACAGCCATCCGAGGGTGCGTCATGAAACAGTTTTTTGAATATTTCCGCCGCTAATATTTGCAACAAACTTCACCTTGAATTCTCATGTTACGTCGACCAGATTTTAATTGTTTAGATAATATTGTTTATTATGTCTATAATCCTCATGTTACGTCGACCAGATTTTAATTCTTGTTCTTCTTTTTCTTTTAGAAGGCGTATCGCCTGTTTAGTTCCGGTTTCCTCCTCGTCTAAGCAACTCTTGCGAGGTTGACTGCCAACTGTCTTGCCAACGTTTAGGTGGTCGTCCAGTAGGTCTTCTGCCATGGGGTACGTTGTTGCGAATTATTATGGCCATTCTGTCGGGGCCCATTCTATTGACATGCTGGTTCCATTCTCTTCTTCTCTGCCTTATCCATCTGACAACGTCGTTTGTTTGGCACTTTTCTCTTATGTCTACATTTCTCTGTCTGTCCCTCAATGTGTATCCAGTTATCATTCTTAAGGTCTTCATTTCAGTAGTTCGTAGGATTCTCTTTGTTACTGATGTTTCAGCTCTGGTTTCCGCACCATATGTCATCACTGGTCGTATGCAGGTTTTGTATATTCTTGACTTACATTCTGTACTCAAATGTTTGTTTTTCCATATGGGATATTTAAGATGCCCTGATATTGCGGCAGCTTTATTAGCTTGTTTCCTTACTTCTTCTTCCAGGAATCCTGAGCTTGTAATTTTGCATCCGAGATATTCGTATTAGATTTTAATTGTTTAGATAATATTGTTTATTATGTCTAAATCGACGTGTACGTGAACGATTCCTTTGGGTTTACATCGAATTGGCTTACTGAAATATGTTTTCCCCAAATTGGCAATATTTTTCTTTATTTCAGAACAACTGTGGAACAACTTCATAATGAAATCACCGCCTTGGATATTCGAATCAGGCAAATAGATAAACAAATTGAATTACCAACAACCGAACCCGAAATCAAAGCCCAAATGGTCGATTTCTTACTGGTAAGTTTGAACTAACTATCGTATATCGAAATACTTATAAATCACTTAACATACAGATGGCGCAAAATGAGGTAGCTAACGTCCAAAGAGAGCTGAAACGATTAGACATCGTGAGAAAACAACTGGCAGACTTTTTTTGTGAAGATTCCAATTCGTTCAAGATAGAGGAGTGTTTTAGAGTTTTCCACGGGTTTTATTCTAAATTCAAGCAAGCTATAACCGAAAATGAACGAAGACGGATCCAGGAAGAACAAGCGAACGCTAGAAGAAAACAGAGGGAAGAATTGTTAGCTACAAAGAGAAAACAGAGTAAGATTTGAAATAAAATAACAGAGTCTTATAGTAAAATCAAAGACCAAACGCACATTATTTGTTTTTAATTTTTTGAATATGGTATTAGATGGAGAAACTGTGGTATGTTGGAATACTTCATAAGTGATCAGCTTCAAATCAGTCGCTAATAAAATTTTAACAAAATAAGATACTGATTTCATCAACGTATTTATAAAAAATATGTTTCTAAAGGGTATGTTACTTTTGCCCAATAGTGAACTTACTTACTACGTTTTGATTGGATTGATCCCCCTGATTTTCTCTGTTTGTCAAAGTAAGCAGTTTGCTCCAACTATTTTATGCATACTTTCTTGTAGCATTTTATAGAGTTGATTAGCCGTTTATTATATATTTTATTTGCAGTGGAAAGTCTTGGAGCTGCAGATTCAGAAGGTCCATTTATAGATATGCAAATATACGATACGAGGGGTAGTTTTAATAAAAAGGTAATATACTAAGAAACATAATGTTAAAAAAAACATACTTATGTAACTAAAGTGTGACACATATAAGTTGAACAGTGCGACATCGGTACGGGGGGTATGGCTTCAGTTTAATTTATCCGTAAATTGCACAGTGGCTTGCATTGGCCCGCATACCTTTCGCTGTTCAGTTTAAATGTGTCGAATATTATAGATACCTACCAAATAAAATAGTCAAAATCTTAATCTTTTATTTAATTTAAATGTTTCAATTTATTTTATAGAAATCAAGCAATCTAAAAATAATTTTAATTTTTATATATTATATATATAGATTGATATAAAAATACATTTTGGTTTATAAAATACAACAAAATTCATGTTTATAGCAATATTAATAAAATCCACAAAACTACGAAAAAAGATGCATGCAACAATTAGCAATAAAATATCATCATTCCAATTTTCAATTTATTTTCACTGATTCTCAGGAGCTCTATGAATTATTAAATATTTTACTATAAGAATAACATTATTTCATCAACATTTCTTTCTTATTTCTCATAAATGCCATTTTGTCATTAATGAAATAATTTAATAATTATATTATTTTCTTGTAATAAGGGACGAAAATTCTTCAACTCGCTTGGTACTTCAGAAGATGAAATGTCCGTCACAGGTTCACCATCGATGTCCAGAAAACGACTTGATTCATTCAACGGTGGTAACAGCGAAAACAAAGATGATAGGTCACCAGGTAATAATAAAATAGAAATAGAAATGTCAATAAAATAGACACTTTTTTTTTTGGATATGGACGATTGGTGAGGATGATGAATACCGATGTCAGAAATTCTATTGTCTAGAATTGTGAAAAATGTCTGGCGGATTCATCTCTCCAAAAAATCCTATATGGATATTGCGCCGCTACAAAAAAAATCTACAAAAAAATAGTTATTTTTTGTAAACACTTCTGCGTTAATTTCAAACGGAAACTACTTGTCAGAAGTAATGTTAATTAAGATTTACAAATTTGCCTAACAAACAAACAAATGCTTAACGTTTCGGAAAGTTTATCACTTTCCGTCGTCGGAAGTAAAAAAAATACAAAGAATAAAGAAAAAAAACTATTTAAATTATTTAAATTCAACTATTCGAGAACACGTTAGTTTTTTTTAAAACAGATACATAGAAGATTTTTTTCTTTTATCTATGAACAGATACTCCTACAAAAACCATTGACGTGCTGTTGAAATGACATTATATCCAAGTTAAACTTCAAAATTAACAATTACTACCTGATAACAATTATTTAATAAGGTAAAACCAAAAAGCCCCAAACTTTCTGTATGTTTATTTGTATGGCCTATTTTTTACTGTATGGCTATCGCTTCTTCCATTATAATTTTGGCGTTATTAAAATTTATTCTGTGCCCTGTGTCCCATGAATGCTGACAAATCTTAGATTGGTGAAAATCTCCCTTTCTTAAATAATCTTTATGTTCTTTAATTCGAACATTTAAGGGTCTAGATGTTCCACCAATGTAAAATTTATCGCATTCGCATGGTATTTGGTATATTACATTTTTCGTTTGTTGTTTACAATTTACCTCTAGATAAAAGCGCTTCGTTTATCCACTAGAGGGCATCAAACTTTAAAAAAAGAAACACATTTTTTCAGATATTTTAAAAACCGTTATTACGATTTGAATGAGATTTTGGGTGTCTATGTTTTGCTAAGTGCTCTCACATTTTGCTTTCACAGAAATCAAGAAAAAGTACGGGAAGGGTGAAAACTATCCCCACCCTTACATAAATTTTAGTATAAAAATTTTTCAATTCCACCAACGGCCCATTTTCTTTCGTAAAATGATTCCTCTAGTATTATTTAATACTATATTTTCAGTCTGTTCGTCCCCGCCTCCCTCCACACTCGCTGACGATAGTCATCACTGATCAAACCTATCCTGGTTTCGTCAGTGAAAATTACGTTTCTCCACTGAGGTAATAACCAGTTCTGGTGTTCTCTAGCCCACTGTAGCCTCCTTTGTCTATGATGTAAAGTTAATAGAGGGACTCGCAGTGGACGTCTACGCCGCAATCCAGCATTAGAAAGTCGCCTGGAAATGGTTCGGCTTGATATCACTCGGTGGTAAGTTCGTTGAAACTGAGATCGTAGCTCTAGAATTGGAACTGACCGATTTCTTCTGGCAAATTGAGCCAAGTAGCGATTCTGTCGTGCAGTCGTTATCCTTGGACGGCCCAACCTAGGACGAGATCTTACATTTCCGGTGTCCATATACCGTTGTATAATTCGGCTGACAGTACTTCGCACTATATTTAAACTATCAGCAATTTGATGCCTGCTGAGACCTTCTTCATGCAAAGCGATAATTCGGGCCCTATCGAAGGCAGAAATTTCGTGCCCTGGCATTTTTGTCGCCTTTCACAACACTTACTACAAGATTGAACTCGAACTGAGAAAACCATGCACATTCCATCGATAAGGTTTTCTTTCATTGCTTTTATGACCTATTTTTTGTAGACACATATTAAGGTATTTGTACACACAGCCACAACAATATGCTATGCAAAGAAATAAATTTGTCTGGGGGGTGCAAGACTTTTGCCGATGAGTGTATTTGACTCATCCTGTATATCTATAAAAATAGTTTTGAAATGCGAATCTCACATTTTGCTTTCACAGAAATCAAGAAAAAGTACGGGAAGGGTGAAAACTATCCCCACCCTTACATAAATTTTAGTATAAAAATTTTTCAATTCCACCAACGGCCCATTTTCTTTCGTAAAATGATTCCTCTAGTATTATTTAATACTATATTTTCAGTCTGTTCTTTGTAAAAAAAAACGCCATAGTGCATACTTTTATTTTGTGTACATTTCAATTTCACAAAATGCCGAATTCAGCCAGAGACACAGTTTAGTCACCTATACGGATAGGCATATTGAATATTTCAGGAGTTGGATTTTTATACATCTTTAAAATTTTTATAATATGAAAATACATAAATATAAAATATAAAGTTAGGTACTTGAGTAGGTATATAAAGTTTGTTCAGTATTTTAGTTATATTTCAAATAATATTTTAGAAAATAGAAGTTCCTAGTATTTCATCAGAGACAGACTAATATTTTTCTGTAGTATATTAGACAAGTTTTTTTTAATTACAAATATTTATCCTTTTTATAGATATAACACCAAACGGTAGTCTAAGAAGAAGGCGGAGCAGGGTTCTTTCCGAAGAGGATGAAGGCACCCTTATGGACTTCTTAAGAGCCTCTGGACATGATAACAACAGGGAGAGGAAATCTTGGGGTAGTTTAGGTACAAGCTCTATCTTAAAAATCACCAAATATTCCTTTCCATATTCTAAAATTACTCTTCCAGATCGATCGTGGGCAAGAAAAGCCAGAGGAAGCGGTCCCAAGAAACGACCGGCTTTATTAGCTGCAGATTTCTCATCTGACAGGGAAAGGCCATCCTCTCCGTCTCCATTGGCCGAAAACAAAACGATTTCCTCTGCTCCGGAAGACGATTCAAGGTCGAAAGATTGGAAATTGAAAATAGAATCGTGGCTACAGGCTAACGAGTCTAATCAGTCTAGCGATGATCAAAGGAGACAGTCTAGAAGATTATCTACCCGAAAATCGGTAGAATTAGATTCAGGTAAGAAATTTTATTTAGAAACATTGTCTAAAATGTGATTCCGCATAATATGTTGCCGACTAGCGTGTACCCGCGACTTCGGTCTCGTCGAATTAATCATTTGTAATAGTGATGATAAAGCAAAGCAAGAATTTCCATTAACATACAAACTGGATAACATATTCTCACATCTATGTCAGCATGAGAAAAAACAATATGGCGATATTGTTATATAACTTGGTAATATTTGAGGGGTAGTTTCATCTCGTTGGAATTTGACATTCGAAAAATCCATTTGGCAAAAATCAGCTTTAAAGCAGTCAAGCAGTTTAAGCAAAATCGCGATTAATCAATGGTCATATTTTATGAAACACCCTGTATACATTTTTAAAAAATCTTAAAATATGTAAAACAACAAAATAAAATATACGTGTTTAAGAGTTTTTCCGAAAAAACTCACCGGTTTTTAAATAAAAAA